AAGCGCTTCATGATAGGTAACTATAAATGTCACAAATCGACATCTCACACCGTTCAAAGACGATATAGGCCATCCATTTGGTCCTCCTACCACAAATAGGAGCAGCAGCCACCCCATGCTTGTTGGTGGACTATCTCCTCTCAGAAATACTTCAATATAGATTACCCAAAATGGTATAAATCGTTGTATCACACCCTGTAAATTCAATTTTGGTGATCCGCTTTATTCTCCTTTCTCGCATAGTGGCAGTTGGTTCCTAAGGTATTTTGGTGGACCAACGATCAGAAACGCTTCATGATAGGTTCCTTAAAATGTCACAAATCGTCGTCCCACACCGTTGAATGGCGGTATAGGCTATCCATTTGATCCTCCTACCATAAATAGGAGCAGCAGCCACCTCATGCTTTTTAGTGGACCATCTCTCAAGAATACTTCAATATAGGTTCCCGACAATGTTATAAATCGTCGTTTCACACCTTGTAAAGACGATTTTGCAATCCATTTTATTCTCCTCTATCGCATAGAGGCATTATGTTCCTCGTGTTTTCTGATGGACGATCGTTCAGAAACGCTACATGATAGGTTCCTGAAAATGTCACAAATCGACGTCCCACACCGCTCAAAGACGATGTAGGCTATCCGTTTGGTCCTCCTATCACATGTAGAAGCAGTAGAAACCACATGCTTTTTGGTGGACTATCTCCTCTCAGAAATACTTCAATGCAGATTACCCAAAATGGTATAAATCATTGTATAACACCCTGTAAATTCAATTTTGGTGATCCACTTTATTCTCCTTTCTCGCATAGTCGCAGTGGGTACCTAGGGTGTTGTAGTGGACCATCTTTCAGGAACGCTTCATGATAGGTTCCTTAAAATGTCACAAATCGTCGTTTGACATAGTTCAAATACGATATAGGCTACACATTTGGTTCTGCTAATATATATGGAAGCAGTAGCCACCTCACACTTTTAGGTGGACTATCTCCTCTCAGAAATACTTCAATATAGATTACCCAAAATGGTATAAATCATTGTATCACACCCTGTAAATTCAATTTTGGTCATCCACTTTATTCTCCTTTCTTGCATAGAGGCAGTAGGTACCTCGAGTATTTTGGTGGACCATCGTTCAGAAACGCTTCATGATAGGTAACTAAAAATGTCACAAATCGACATCTCACACCGTTCAAATACGATATAGGCTATCCATATGGACCTCCTATGATGTATAGAAGCAGTAGCCACCTAATGCTTTTTAGTGGACCATCTCTCAGGAATACTTCAATATAGGTTCCCAAAAATGTAATAAATCGTCGTTTCACACCTTGTAAAGACGATTTTGCAATCCATTTTATTCTCCTTTATCGCATTCAGGCATTATGTACCTCGAGTATTTTGATGGACGATCGTTCAGAAACGCAACATTTGGACCTCCTATCACATATAGAAGCAGTAGCCATCCCATGCTTGTAAGTGGACTATCTCCTCTCAGAAATACTTCAATATAGATTTCCCATAATAATATAAATCATTGTATCACACCCTGTAATTTCAATTTTGGTGATCCACTTTATTCTCCTTACTCGCATAGTGGCAGTAGGTACCTAGGGTATTTTGGTGGACCATCGTTTAGAAACGCCTCATGATAGGTTTCCTAAAATGTCACAAATCGTCGTTTCCCATTGTTCAAATACGATATAGGCTACCCATTTGGTTCTGCTATTATATATGGAAGAAGTAGCCCCCTCACGCTTTTCGGTGGACTATCTCCTCTCAGAAATACTTCAATTTAGATTATCCAAAATGGCATAAATCATTGTATCACACCCTGTTAATTCAATTTTGGTGATCCACTTTATTCTCCTTTCTCGCATAGTGGCAGTAGGTATCAAAGGTATTTTGGTGGACCAACGATCAGAAACGCTACATGAGAAATTCCTCAAAATGTCACAAATCGAAGTCCCACACCATTCAATGGCGGTACAGGCTATCCATTTGGTCCTCCTATCACATATAGAAGCAGTAGCAACCACATGCTTTTTGGTGGACTATCTCCTCTCAGAAATACTTCAATATAGATTACCCATAATAATATAAATCATTGTATCACACCCTGTAATTTCAATTTTGGTGATCCACTTTATTCTCCTTACTCGCATAGTGGCAGTAGGGACCTAGGGTATTTTGGTGGACCATCGTTTAGAAACGCTTCATGATAGGTTTCTTAAAATGTCACAAATCGTCGTTTCCCATTGTTCAAAGACGGTACAGGCTATCCATTTGATCCTCCTATCATAAATAGGAGCAGTACCACCTCATGCTTTTTGGTGGACTATCTCCTCTCAGAATTACTTCAATATAGATTACCCAAAATGGTATAAATCATTGTATCACACTCTGTAAATTCAATTTTGGTGATGCACTTTATTCTCCTTTCTCGCATGGTGGCAGTAGGTACCTAAGGCATTTTGGTGGACCATCGTTTAGAAACGCTTCATGATAGGTTCCTTAAAATGTCACAAATCGTCGTCTCACATAGTTCAAATACGATATAGGCTACCCATTTGGTTCTGCTATTATATATCGAAGCAGTAGCCGTCTCATGCTTTTCGGTGGACTATCTCCTCTCAGAAATNAAGGTATTTTTCCATATGATTATCTTGACTGTTGGAAAAAATTGAAAGATACAAAATTACCACCAAAAGAACATTTTTAGAGGAGAATTTCCAATTGTCATATAACTGAAAATGAATACAAGTACGCGTGCGATGTTTGGCAAACCTTTGAAATGAAAAATTTTCAAGAATATGCTGAATTACATTTAAAAACAGACGTCCTACTACTTGCAGACATTTTTGAAAACTTTAGATCCACTTGTTGGATGACGTATGTTGTGACCAGAAAATAAAACTACCCGTTTTACCCCGTTCACTGATTCGGATAACAGCCAGCAGGTACCAAAAGAAAACACCGGGAAAAGTTAGAATAATTATAATTTAAAAATACGAAAAGTATGAGTTTACAGTACAAAAGCTTGACAAAGACTACTTGTGACCTACTTACATTTTAAGCTCGCGAATTAAAAGAAGAAATAACATACTATTATTAAATGTTAACAATACCGATAGTGTTCAAAGTATCACGTCACAAATACATAAACAACTCATTTCCTGCTACTAAAAAGGATAAACAAATGCAGAACTAATCGCTCTCGACAAGAATATGTTTTATCATAAACAAAGAAACAAAATATTAATTCTTTATGTGTGTCTCCAACATTCTCCCACCTGAGGAACGACACAATTTAAGTGACTCACATAAAAAAAATAAGAAACACGCATAAAGAAATTACAAAATTTGAAATCTGTTGGGTAATCTACACTGTCGTCCACTTCGAGTAATATAGCGCACCGCACTTTCGGATTCTCTGCTTTTGACGTCTAAAGGGACGTCATTCACTCCCGCACTTTCGGTCACTTGATCATCGGTTCGGTCGAGCCCGGGATCGCCGCTGACGCCTTCCTCCATACGGATTGCTCTCTCTGCCAGTCCCAGAGCCTCCGTGATAGGACTCGTACATTCCAGTGGATAAACACGCTGTACAGGTCTTAGCAACTGTCCCTTAGCTGTCTGTAGGCGTACCCAACGAACCTTCCCGTCCTTGCCAGGAAAAATTTCAATTACTTTCCCCATTGGCCAGTCCAAACGTTTGTCGTTGTCGTTTCCTACCAAGACAACTTCTCCCATTGAGATGTTGCGCTGCGGATTCCTTGAGCCCAAACATTTTAGCGTTCCCAAAAACCGCCCCACCACGCGGCCGTAGGTGGGTTAAACCGCCACTTAATACGTTCAATAGATGTGTACTCACTAATTTTGTCCCAATTGAGTTTACTGAATGCGTTTTCCGCACCGACGAAATTCTTTCCGTTGTCGCTATAAATTGTTTTCGGCCGACCGCGTCTTGCCACAAACCGACGAAGTGTTTGCAAGAAGACTTTCTTTTAGTTCAGACTTTAGATTCGATTATCGGTCTCGTCAGCAAAAGCTTCGAATTGTATAATTTTGAGCGGGCTCTACTTCATCCGTCGTTAAATTTCCGGTACGTTTCTGGCCTGGATTCCGAGAATTAAAGACAAAACGAAAAACCCAAGCAATTAACCTTATCGTTCGATTGTATTTTGCGAAATGTTGCAAGTGCTACTCATCGGAACTAAAGCCTAACGTAGCCGTTATCAAAGTTTTCTCTCTCTCTTTGGATATTTCGTCTTCATCACAAATAATGTTTTCCTGAGGCCATAAATTTTGTGATCTACGAAGCCATTGGGGCCCCTCCCACCATATCGACTCGAATAAATATTTAGCCGAGCATCCTCTGGACGGAAGGTCCGCAGGGTTAAACTGTCCAGGCAAATGCCTCCAAGAACCTACTGGGGTCAGCAGACGGATCTCCATGGTGCGGTTCCACACAAAAGTTCAGAAAAAACACTCACAATCCAATTCAAGGCTCTTGCAGATACTTGCATATAGTCTGGCTCCAATTGTGGCAGCTAATAACTCTAAACGCGGTATTGTTATTTTACGAAGTGGCGCCACCCTGGTTTTTGCGGCCAATAAATGAATGAATACTTCGTCATTCTTTTGGATTCTTAGAAATACTACAGCCGAATATGCTTGCCCGCTAGCATCACAAAAGGTGTGTAAACTCAACTTGTTGGTTTCCAAGGACCCAGCCTGTATCCATCTAGGAATCTTTATTAATGGCAAATGTGAAATATCTTCAGCCCAACCGCGAAATGCGACCTCTGTCTCTGGGTCAACGGGCACGTCCCATCCCAACTGCTTTTCCCAGAGTTGTTGCAACAATAGCTTAGGAAACAAGGTGACTGGACAGGTGAACCCAATGGGATCTAAAACACGTTCAGCGAGTGAAAGGATTACTCTCTTCGTTATTTCTTTCCCTTCCAAATTTCTGACGCTTTCGAAAAATTCGGTACCAATCATAAGGACATCTTCTTGCGGATTCCAATATAAACCAAGTACAGGTAAAAGAGTAGAGGATGTAGATGGGTGAGTAAACCCCACCCTCTCAAATCGAACTTCGCATCCTGCATCAGAAAATTGGACTCCCTGACGAATTGCTCGAGTTCGGCTTCATTGTTCACACTAGTGAAACAATTGTCCACGTACAGACTCTTCATGAGTTTTTCAATCGTCTGTCGGCCATAAAGAATCCCTGGGGTGTCGCATTTCCTCAAGCTCTCAGAAAGATGAAAGTCAATGGTAGCGCCAAGTAGGAATGGACTACTACAAACACCAAATACCACTCGTCTGTGACGATACATAATTATCTTGCCAGAGTCGTCATACCACAAAAACCTCAAAAAATCTCTATCATCTCTGTGTACTCCAATTTGCAAGAAAGCCTTTCTAATGTCGGAAATAATCCCAATTTTTTGCTCCCGAAACCTCAGCAGAATGGAAGGAATCAATTCTATCAAGTTTAGACCCTTTTCTAGACAGTGATTCAGGGAAGGCTGATTTTTCTCTCGTGATGATGCATCAAAAACAGGTCTAATTTTAGTGGTCGCACTATTCTTAATGACTGGTCGGTGTGGCAAATAATGTGCTGACTTAACATTCTCTGACATAGGGACCTGTTCAATAATGCTTTCTTCCAGCCACATCTTAAAAATACTGTCATAAGACTCAAACAGACCAATATCTTTTAACTACTTAACAGTTGATTCTAATCTCTTCAACGCAACTGAGTAATTGCTTGGTAGCGGAGGATGCCCTTCTAACCATGGCAACCTTACTTCATAACGCCCGTTTTCATCTACCCTTATTGTTTGCAAAAAGAGCTCTTTAGCCGCCAAAGCCATTTCTTCACGATTTTTCGTCTCTGTTGGCTCGGTTATTCCCAAAACATCAAGTTTCCATAGCTCCGAAACCGACGCATCTTTCACGAAAAGAGAAAGAACGGTCATAGCAAGGTCAACATCTTTGCTGTCGGTTGGTACCTTTCCCATGAGACTCCATCCGAAAATTGTCTCCATAGCCACCAGCCCGCAACTTAAAATGTGTCTTCGTCCCGTGTATAGCTGTCCTGCCATATCGGCCCCTATTAACAATTCTATCGAAGCTCCATCTCTAGTGTCGGATAGTGCAATGTCCAAATCCTTTAATTCCTCCATCCACGGACCATAACCAACGGGAGGTTTTTCTGTGCAAATAATCGACTGATCAAGCACTTCAAATGCACACAAACGGTCTTCATTATCCTTAACTGTTATCTCATAACAGCTATGTTTCTGCTCCGACGTATTGGTGCCTCCAAAAATTGAGTCAATAATCTTCTCAACTCTCGTCGGAATGTAGCCTAACTTTTGTGCGGTTGATTTCAAAACGTAAGATCTCTGAGAGCCACTATCTATTAACGCACGTACTTCCCTAGATTTGGAGCCATTTACCAAGTTTATTCGAACTGTTTGAAGAAATACATGCGCGCTAGTATAATTAGAAAGTGCCTTATCAGGGTTTTGACTGAATGCACCTTTGGCTTCGTGAGAATCGTCCGCTTGACGAACTACGTCCTTATGAGCAGGACACATTATAGTTGAGTGAGGCCTACCGCAAACAATACATCTTTTCCGATCACGGCATTTCCGAGCTTGATGGCCAAATTTTAAACTACGAAAACAAGCCTTTTTCGTCGCCAACAGATCTCTTTTCTCGTCTAACGACATTTTCTGTGCTTTGAAACAATCTAAGCCTTCATGGCATCCGTCACAAAAAATGCATTTTGCTGCTTCACAATTTACGAGATCCGCGGCCGTAGGTACTTNTTTCATATACTTTCTTGCTTAGAGGCTGTAGGTACCTTGAGTATTTTAGTGGACTATCATTCAGAAACGCTACGCGATAGGTTTCTAAAATTGTCACAAATTGTCGTCTCACACCGTGCAAAGACGATTTAGGCTATCCATTTGGTCCTTCTATCACGTATATAAGCAATAGGTACCTCATGTTCTTTGGTGGACTATCTCTAATAAATGCCTCAATATAGGTTTTCTAGAATTTTAAAAATCATTGTATCACTCCCTGTAAAGGCGATTTTCGCCATCCGTTTCATATACCTTCTTGCTTAGAGGCTGTAGGTACCTCGAGTACTTTAGTGGACTATCGATCAGAAGCGCTTCGCTATAGTTTGCTAAAAATGTCACAAATCGTCGTCTCACGCCGTTCAAAGACGGTTTAGGCTATCTATTTGGTCCTTCTGTCACGTATAGAAGCAGTAGCTGCCTCACGTTCTTTGGTGGACTGTTTAATAAATCCTTTATATTGGTTCCCGAGAATGGTATAAATCATTGTATCACACCCAGTAAAGGCGAATTTGACCATCCATTCTATCTACCTCCTTGCTTAGTGGCAGTAGGTACCTCGAGTGTTTTAGTGAACGACGGTTCAGAGACGCGTCAAGATAGGATCCTGAAAATGCCACAAAACGCCGTCTCACACGGTTCAAAGACGATTTACGATATCCATTTGGTCATCCTATCACGTATAGAAATAGTAGCTACCTAATGTTCGATGGTGGGTTATCTCTAATAAGTGCTTCATATAAGTTATCGAGGATAGTATAAATCACTGTATCACACCCTGTTAAGGCGAATTTGGTCATCCATTTTATCTACTTTCTCGCATAGAAGCAGCAGGTACCTCGAGTATTTTCGTGGTCTATCGTTGAGAAACGCTTCGCTACAGTTTCCTAAAAATGTCACAATTCGCCGTCTCACGCAGGTCAAAGACGATCTAGGCTATCCATTTGATCCTCCTATCACGAATAGAAGCACTAGCTACTTCATTCCCTTCGGTGGTCTATATCTAATAAATACTTCATAGTGGTTCCCGAGAATGTTATAGATCATTGTATCACACCCTGTAAAGGCGAATTTGACCATCCATTCTATCTACTTTCTCGCTTAGTGGCAGTAGGTACCTCAAGTACTTTTGTGGACTATCGTTCAGAAACGCTTCGCTGTAGGTTCCTAAAAATGTCTCAAATCGTCGTCTCACAAAGTTCAAAGACGGTTTAGGCTATCTATTTGGTCCTCCTATCACGTATAGGAGCAGTATCTACCTCTTGTCCTTTGGTGGACTGTTTCTAATAAATACTTCATGTTGGTTCCCGTGAATGGTAAAAATCATTGTATCACACCCTGTAAAGGTGAATTTGACAATCTATTTTATCTACTTTCTCCCTTAGAGGCAGTAGGTACCTCGAGTATTTTATAAGACTATCGTTTAGAAACGCTTTTCGATAGATTCCTAAAAATGTCTCAAATCGTCGTCTTTGGTGGACCATCTAATAAATACTTCATATAGGTTCCCGAGAATGGTATAAATCATTGCATCACACCCTGTAAAGGCGAGTTTGGCCATCCATTTCACCTACTTTCTCGCTTAGGGCAGTAGGTACCTCGAGTATTTCAGAGGACTATTGTTTAGATACGCTTCGCGATAGATTCCTAAAAATGTCCCAATTCGTCCTCTTACACCGTTCAAGACGTTTAGGCTATCTATTTGGTCCTCCTATCACGTATAGAAGCAGTCGCTATCTCATATTCTTAGGTGGACTGTCTCTAATAGATACTTCAATATAGGTTTCCGAGAATCGTAAAAATCATTGTATCACTCCCTGTAAAGGTGATTTATGCCATCCATTTTAGATACATTCTCGCTTAGAGGCAGTAGGTACCTCGAGTATTTTAGTGGACTATCGATCAGTAACGCTTCGCGATAGATTCCAAAAAATGTCACAAATCGTCGTCTCACATCGTTCAACGACGGTTTAAGCTATCCATTTGGCCCGTCTATCACGTATAGAAGCAGTAGCTACCTCATGTTCTTTGGTGAACTATTTGATAAATCCTTCATATAGGTTTCCGAGAATCGTAAAAATCGTTGTATGCCTCCCTGTGAAGGCGATTTTTTCTATCCATTTTATATACATTCTCGTTTAGAGGCAGTAGGTACCTCGAGTATTTTAGTGGACTATCGATCAGTAACGCTTCGCGATAGATTCCTTAAAATGTCACAGATAGTCGTCTCACATCGTTCAAAGACGGTTCAGGCTATCCATTTGGTCCTCCTATCACGTATAGAAGCAGTAGCTTCCTCATGTTCTTTTGTGGACTATCTCTAATAAATACTTCAATATGGGTTTCCGAGAATGGTAAAAATCATTGTATCACTCCCTGAAAAGGTGATTTTTGCCATCCATTTTATATACTTTCTTGCTTAGAGGCTGTAGGTACCTCGAGTATTTTTGTGGACTATCGTTCAGAAACGCTTCGCGATAGGTTCCTAAAAATGCCACAAATCGTCGTCTCACACCGTTCAAAGACGGTTGTGGCTATCCGTTGGGTCCCCCTATCACGTATAAATGCAGTAGGTACCTCATGTTCTTTGGTGGACTATATCTAATAAGTACTTCATATTGGTTCCCGAGAATGGTATAAATCGTTGTATTACACCCTGTTAAGGCGAATTTGGCAATCCATTTGATCTACTTTCTCGCATAGATGCAGTAGGTACCTCGAGTATTTTAGAGGACTATCGTTTAGAAACGCTTCTCGATAGATTCCTAAAAATGTCTCAAATCGTCGTCTCACAAAGTTCAATGACGGTTTAGGCTATCCATTTGGTCCTTCTATCGTGTATAGAAGCAGTACGTACCTCATGTTCTTTGGTGGAATATTTAATAAATCCTTCATATAGGTTCCCGAGAATGGTATAAATCATTGTATCACACCCTGCAAAGGCGTACTTGCCATCCATTTTATCTTCTTTCTCGCTTAGTGGCAGTAGGCTTCTCGAGCATTGTAGTGGACTATCGTTCAGAAACGCTTCGCGATAGATTCCTAAAAATGTCACAAATCGTCGTCTCACACCGTTCAAAGACAATTTAGGCTATCAATTTGGTCCTTCTGTCACATATAGAAGCAATAGATACCTCATGTTCTTTGGTGGACTATATAATAAGTCCTTCATATAGGTTCCCGAGAATGGTATAAATCATTGTATCACACCCTGCAAAGGCGTACTTGCCATCCATATTATCTACTCTCTCGCTTAGTGGCAATTGGCTTCTCGAGCATTTTAGAGGACTATCGTTCAGAAACGATTCGCGATAGGTTCCTAAAAATGTCACAAATCGTGGTCTTACACAGTTCAAAGACGGTTCAGGTTATCCGTTTGGTTCTCCTATCACGTAGAAAAGCAGTAGGTACCTCATGTTCTTTGGTGGACTATATCTAATAAGTACTTCATATTGGTTCCCGAGAATGGTAAAAATCATTGTATCACACCCTGTAAAGGCGAATTTCACCATCCATTTTATAAACTTTCTCGCTTAGAGGCAGTAGGTGCCTCGAGTACTTTAGTGGACTATCGATCAGAAACGCTTCGCTATAGTTTCCTAAAAATGTCACAAATCGTCGTCTCACGCCGTTGAAAGACGGTTTAGGCTATCTATTTGGTCCTTCTGTCACGTATAGAAGCAGTCGCTGCCTCACGTTCTTTGGTGGACTATTTAATAAATCCTTCATATTGGTTCCCGAGAATGGTATAAATCATTGTATCACACCCAGTAAAGGCGAATTTGACCATCCATTCTATCTAC